GTGCATTCCTCTAGGTATTCCCGCCAAAATGGCCAAGTTGCAACAACAAGGTCAAACAACTTATATATAAAATGAGGTTGAGAGAAAGAGACTTAGTAATAGGAGTTAGTACAAAAAATGGAAGCGAATGGTGATGCCACAACGGTTGATCAGAAAAGTGGCTAGGGAAATTGCCTTCACTTGTCATTTGATGAGTTGTAACTCTGTGCTGATGACGAAACGCTTTGGAATGTCCGAATTCAATGGTCTGATACTGGAAATCACGAATACTTCGGCAGAAGACACATTACTATGTACGTTTCTCAGGGATTCCCTGACGCTCCGCCCAATATACGAAAACGAGGTCGAATCCACTATTTATACATAATCTTCTTAGAGTCTTTTATCTGTATACCTTTTTCTATCATTTTATTTGTTGGCTTTTTGAAACGTGTTGTTTCGATTAGGAATGTGGATAACACGGTAGCTCCCCTTTTATTAGCTTACTCTTATCCTCTGGCATAACCCCCCCGCAACTTGATCTAGTGAATTTCAAACCTATTTTATTGCTTTTTGGCTTTATACAGTCTTATCCTTAACTTATCAATTATCTTTAATAGGAATCGTGAAGGTGAATGTCTTACTGATTTATTGGATTTGTGGCAGCCATCGCGTAGAGTCGTCGGAACCTTTCAGCAACAAAGGCTTAAATACGAGCAACTTTTGCAGGCCATTAAAACTAGATTAGGAGGTTTGTTGAGTGATTACTTGCTGATTAATTTTGAAGTTTAATTGCCCATTTTCATTGCTAGGAGAACTCGTACATTATTTCGGTTATATATATATATGTATATAGACATAAATGATTGTTATGTATATCTTGCCAATTAACTTTCGTTTCTTTTAGCCGCGTTACTTGTTAAGGTTTAATTGCAATACATTTAGCAACCGTGTCATCTTTTTTGCCAAATGGCTAGTAATGCTAAAACTTTAACAATTCAATATCTAAGTCAATTTCTCAGTTTCTGCTCTAGCGCTTGTAAACCAGTCTGAACTTTTTAAAATAAATATAGGGATTTATTTTTGCTTCTACATCATTGGAAATTAATTTTTATCATTGCTAATTCAACATTCATAATCCAAGCTCGATTCTCATAGTCACAATTTTTATTTTATATTTCCTCTCGTTTTATAAAGGCGTTTCAAGTTAATCTATCATTCATTCTAGGTTCATTAAATACTGTTTAGAAGTCTCATAATATTAATTCCATGACTTAATTTGTTTCAAAGTTTCGAATATCCTTGAGGCTGCAAACTCTAATGTCATCAGCTTTATACGAATATCTTACTATCCTCATTCAACTCTTAGTTTGCACACTTAGCCTTTATACTTAGGTATCTAACTAATGTAAATTTTCCCTTTAAGCTCATCTGACATATTGATGCATTTTTCTTAAAAATTACATATTTTTGAAATTTAACATTGATGTATTTCCATATCACAATTCGTTGTATCCTAATTAATCACTTTTACTTATGCTATTTTTTGGTATAAATTGGTTCAGTATTTTTTGTTTAATCAATTCTTTTTTTATATTAATCTTCCTTACTTTTCATAGACGACTATGACCGTTGGTGTCAAACTCACAGACAGGCCAACCTTCCTCCATCATCCAGTCGAAATTCCGAATCTAGGGGTTCCTCTTTATTAAAGTCTACTTTTGCTAGATTCGGCTTCTCGAACTCAAAATGTTCCATTTCTTCCAAGAATCAAAGTGGTCTTCGTCACGGTCTAGATTTTTCCGGAAACTCTTCCTTTAGTTCACCCGATGGAGTCGGGACTACTAAGCATCAGGATTCTGATTCATCAAACTCGCTAAAGTCTTCCTCACCAGTCGTTTCCTCATCAAGAAAGAAAGTAAAACGAAAAAGGTTTAATCTGCGATTCCCTTCTGACTCCGCTTCTTCCTGTTCCTCACATTCCTCATCATCCAACCTTGGAGAGGAGTCTCGTGAAGTTAAAAAAAGGAAACATAAACGTAGACGAAGTGAAGCCGTTCAGAATTACCGTGAGGCTCTAGCTGCAATCGGAGGTTCAAAGCTGAGGTCAGTTTTTGCTATTGAATCTGAGTCCTTTCGCCGTGGTTTTAAGGTTTTTGAATTTTCTAAATCCCACTCATCTTGAAATCTACATTATAATGTGATAAAATGATTTTTTAAAGTAAATTCCTTAAGTACTTCAACTGCTCGCTTTAGCTACCTTTGGCGCAACTTATCTTCACGTGCACTTTATCAGGATGTACTGTCCAGGTACTGCCCCTTGTTCTTTGTAGGTATATTTCGAGATCGTTAATCAGTTTACTCAGCCTTGGATAAGATTGCCTTATCGATGTTCCACTCAGAATGTGATATAAATAGGGCATTGTCTTTCTTTAAATTCTCGTTTGCCTTGTGAAAACGCATTACAATTTCTGGATTAAACTACCATTGACAAGTAATTGAATATTATATAACATTCACACACACATTGTTTCCATGAAGACATATAAGGAGAGGTTTCATTATCATCCAAAAATCAGGTTATAAACAATAGACTCCGATCTCACTTAGCCAACTTTAGCCATATCAATCGAATTTTATCGAGAAATTGTTTTACGCTTTAAGTCGGTCACACTGTCAACGAATACTCAGCACTGATTTTTCTGCATATCCAGACGGATTGTCGAGACCTAATTTTTTTTCCAGGGTATATTCTTCGATTTCTGGTGAGACCAATTTATAAATCTCTTCCACTAAAATTCTCATAATAAGTGTAAGATTTTATGATGCACTATTATTCTGCACAGCTTTTATCTTTTTCAGAGCTCTTAAAACATGAAAATGACTCTTGAATATTAGCAGAATTAATTTAAAAGGCTATTCAGAAAATTATCTACTATTATTTTTTAATCTTTTCTATTTCTAAGGAAGCTTTTGATAGTCTTACTATCCTATAATGATAAATTTATTTCAGAGTAATGGCGTTATTGTCACTACTATATGCTCATTTGGACAGCTGCTTTTCTGCTCAACTCATGGTTGTATCTGGCTTCTTACACTTAATATCATATTTTGCCCATTTTCCTATCCAGATGTTCAGTATATTCTGACGCAACTCCTAGTTCTCGGCGTTGTGGGCATTCCACTGGAATTCTCGTCGACGTTTATTCAAAACCTTCTGCTCTTGGTATTGATAAGAGCTGGCTTGATGCTGATGACCAACCTGACAAACAAAAGAGCAGCACAACTTTATGCAGTACAGTCAAATTGAACAATGTCCCTAAGGCTGTTCATCGGCATCCTATTCCCCCCCTTTTCGAGAACATTAGAAGGAAGTCAAGGACAATCCACTCTTTACCTTCACGAACTCGACAGACTGTCTCTTCACGTACGCCACTATGTAGACACATGTTTTCCCTATCTAATTTGGTCTAAATGGCCCCATCATATATACAAGTATCTTAATTTATCTAATTTACATTGGTAGCTGATTTTTTACATTTTTTTCCTTTCTATACTAACTCTTAGATTGAGTCGCCCTAAAAATACTTTTAATGACAATACTGGATCGTTTAACATTTATAACTTAACTTAAACGCACACAATTATTTTCTTCTCATTACACCTTAGAAAGTTTATGCAATCATCCTTAAACTTCCACATTGCTATATCTCGATTGCTCTTTGATCATATTTACCACAAATGTAACAATGTCTAAGACTGGTTGAGGTTGAAGCTATATTTCCTTTATCTTGTTTCCTCAATAAATCTGAGAAACTTGACTCTATCTCTTAATGGGTAAATATTTTAATTCATGTTTATATTGTTTATCCTATCGATTCCCTATCGTCCCATCTTAGCTACGCATTATTGACAAGATTGATTTTTTTAAATAGAGGTTTGTAATTTCCAAGCTATTTTTATAATAGATTGACAGCTATTCTGCCCACGATGAATCACTAAGAAAGCATGACTTGCATTGAATTATACATTATAATAGGTCATTCTTATCAAAGATGGCGTGTAATTTGAATTTCGTCTTGGTCTCTGGATTTCATGGTTGATTAGAGCCATGGACTAAAGTGTTTGCTTTATGGCAACAACTTTACATCCTACTATTTGAAGTCCTGGCTGCTT